ATTTATTTATTTATTTATTTATATATTTATTGTTTCTTACTTGTCTCAATTTGCTGCCGCCCAGCGACGTCTCTGGCGAGTCTCTATTGAGCAGCAGCAGCAGCAATAGCAGCAGCAGCTGCTGCAGCAACAGCAACAGCAACAACAGCAGTAGCAGCAACAGCAGCAGCTGCAGCAACAGAAACAGCAGCAAATGCTGCAGCGCTACTTCAGCAAAGTCTCTCAACTCTGCAGCTAGCTACAGCTCGCTGCAGCAACTGCAGCACTTCTGCTGCTGCTCTCAGCACAGAACTGTTTGCAGCAGCAAGCAGCAGCAGCAAGCTGCAGCAGCAAGCTGCAGCAGCAAGCTGCAGCAGCAAGCTGCAGCAGCAAGCTGCAGCAGCGTTTGCGAGTGGGTTGTTGCTGTTGAGGTTCGTCTTCATTAACTTGTCTCTCTTCTAACAACTTTTTATTAATTTATTTCTTTTTATTTATTTGTCTCCTTCTGTTTATTATTATATATTTATATTTATTTATATTTATATTTATATTTATTTATATTTATATTTATTTATATTTATTTATATTTATATATTTTTATTTATTTGTCTCCTCCTGTCTTCCGTCACCCCAGACCGAGTGTCGGGTTTAAATAAATAAAATAAATAAATTTAATAAACAAATAAATTAAATAAATTAAATAATTAAATATAAAAAACGGGTTATATAAATAAAATAAACAATTAAGAAGAGACAGACATAAAAAGAAGCTCGAGAGCGAGCGAAGAGACAGAAAAATAAATAAAGATAAGATATATATTTATATATTCACTTCTGCAAATCAACACCTCGTTGTAGCAGCAGCAACAGCAGCAGCAGTAGCAGCAGTAGCAGCAGCAACAGCAGCAGCAGCACAAGCAGCAGCAGCAGGAACAGCAGCACATCTGATCCACTGCAAATCCCGTGCGGTGTCTGTACACCTACAGCTGCAGCTGCAGCAGCAGCAAAGCAGGCAGTACGAGAAGGGGCTGCTACAGCAAAGCCTAAGCAGGTGGAAGTTGAGATACACCACGGAGGCTGCTGCTGTTGCTGTTGCTGTTCCTGCTGCTGCTGCTCCCTCTACGCTAAGCCTCATTAAAAGCAGCAGCAGCAGCAGCAGCAGCAGCTGTTCCGCTACCAGCAGCTGCTGCAGCAGCAACAGAGGACACTCAGATGTGCAGCAGTGATAGCAGCACTATCTGCCGTAGCGGCAGCAGAAGCAGCGGCAACAGCAGCAGCAACAGCAGCAGAAGCAGCAGCAATAGCACCAACAGCAGCAGCAACAGCGCGAGAAACAAGAGCGACAGCACCAACAGCAGCAACTGCACAAGCAGCAGCAGCAACAGCGTCCGCAGCACGATATACAAGAGTAACAACTGCAGCAACAGCACCAACAGCAGCAACAACCGCAGCAACAGTACAAACAGCAGCAGCAACAGCAGCAGGAACACCAGCAGCAATAGCAGAGAAGCAAGAGCAACAGCAGCAACAGCAGCAGCAACAGCAGCAACGGTACCAGCAGCAGCAACAGCAGCAGCAGCAGAAACAGTAACAGCAACAGCAGCAACAGTAGCAGCAACAACAGCAGCAACACCACCTGCAGTAACGGCACGAGAAACAAGAGCAACAGCAGCAACAGCAGCAGTAGCAGCAACAACAGCAGCTACAGCACGAGAAACAAGAGCAATGGCACCAACAGCAGCAGCAACAGCACCAACAGCAGCTGCAAGAGCACCAACAGCAGCAGCAACAGCAGCAACAACACAAACAGCAGCAACAGCAGCAATAGCAGCAGCATCAGCACCAAACGCACCAACAGCAGCAGCATCAGCACCAATAGCACGAGAAACAATAGCAACATCACCAACAGCAGCAGCAACAGCACCAACAACAGCAGCAAGAGCACCAACAGCAGCAACAGCAGCACCCACAGCAGCAACAGCACCAACAGCAGCAGCAGCAGCACCCAACAGCACCAACAGCAGCACCCAACAGCACCAATAGCACGGGAAACACGAGCAACAGCACCAACAGCAGCACCAACAACACGGGCTGCACGAGCAGCAGCAGCACGAGCGGCACCAGCAGCAGTAGCACGAGCGGCAGCAGCAGCAGCAGCAGCAGCAGCACGAGCGGCACCAGCAGCAGCAAGTAAAGTCGGCAGCAGCATCTTAAAGTGGTTTGTTTGCAGTAAATATTTAAGAAATAGAATAATAAAAATAAAATAAATAGAAATTAAGGCAAATATTTTGTTTATTTAATAAAACAATACACGAAGACAGACGCAAGCAGACGCACAGCAGCATCAGCACCACTGTCGGGAGCGCCGTGCAGCAGAATGCTGAAAGTATTGATATATCAAGATTAAAATTATAAATAAAGTGTAAATAATAAAATATATTAAATAAATTAAATAAATTAAACTAATATATCAAATGATTTATTTAATTCTATGCAATTTTTCCTGCTGCACCGTGCAGAC